ATCGAATCACAATCCTGTACAGCATTTACATTATTATTTGATTATATTTATAGGTACAAAAATGGCTAGAACAGTTTTCATTGGTATTGATGTTTCAAAAGAAACACTTAATCAACAACAAACATCAGCGTATAGAAAATGTAGAAAGAGCTATATCTGAGTTTTAAAGTCAATTAGATATCCACATTCATCCACTTGGTCATTATAAAACGTTTGAAGATAACGTACAAGCTATTGATCAAGTACTCGACTTTTTACGTTTACATAATGTTACCAGAGTTGGACTTGAAGCAACCGGTGGGTACGAAAAATTATGTGCTTATACTTTACTAAACCATGGTTTCAAAGTATATGTCATTCAACCTAGATGGGTTAGAGAATATGCAAAAAGCCTTGATGTAGTGAATTATCAACTAGGTAATGTAATGGACGACAGATACGTAAGGATACAATCACATTTAATAGGGGCTTTATCCATGCTATCTTTCCTAATTTTCTGTACTTTATTCGATTAGATAAGCCGACCTGTGCCAATTGACACCAGCACCATTTCTTCATTAGGGAAAAGTTTTTTGCTATTTGCATACGCACAAGCCGCTGGATTATTGGCAAACACTCCTCCATCCACTAACACTCTTTTCTCTTGCTTAACTTCTAAATACTTAGGTGCAAAGTATGTTGGTGCTGCTGTTGTGGCTCTAAGTGCATCTTTTAACTTGATGAAATTCCTGTTTTCTCTCCAACTTTTAAGGAAAAATGGACAGTTGTTGTGTATATCATAACTGGTAAGCAGTAGATTACTTGAAACATCAGCAATAGTACTTTTGCCGAAGTATTTATCGAGTACGCATTTTAAATTAGGCTTTGGTTCTTATTTTACAATAATTAACATAATGATAATAAATTATAAAATGGTAAACTACTATATTTATTCTTCAACTTATTATACAATAGATGCACTAGCTGGAGGTTTAACATTACTACCCTCAAGTAAATTTGAAGATCTGTTACAGTAATATATGATTGCAGCAGCAACTAGACAACAAGCTCCAACTGCTATCCCCACTGCTAACATTTCCAAGTAAACTGTAATAGCTACCCCTGTAGCAACTCCGGTTATTGCTAACATAGCAGCAGCTATCACAGGCAACTTACTTTTTGCATTTTGTGGAGCAGGGTTGTTTTTGTATGGATAACTAGGTTGTTTGCTGTTACCTTGAACATTATTTACTCGGTTAGAGTCTTTACTAGATACTAAAGGTACCCCTGTTGGTATTAGTTTTGGTTGTGTATCTTTTTTACCACTATTCTTATCTACACTTTTAGGTGCAGCTAGTTGAACAGATGGCGCAGTAACACCTCCATTGTTTGGATTAGTAGACTGCTTGCCGTTGGTTTTGATATCACTTTTTTGTTCTAGAATTGGTATTTTAACATTTTCATTTGTGACAGCTATATTATATTGATTGGATACTTGATCACTACCAGTTCGTGATTCATTTAACTGAATTTTACTTGAATTACTATGATTATCATTACTTATAGAAGCTTGACTTACTGTAGCCACATCATCTTTGACCAATGTAACTGAAGCAGTTTGTGCAGCAAGTTCTTCTGATTTCTTTGGAACTATAGGGGGGCTTGTTAGAATAGGAGTTTGTTTATTCCTACCATCGCTACTGATAATAGAGGTTGATTGATCATTTATAGTAGTGCCAACACCTTCATCGTTAGTATTAGCTGTAATATTAGAATGATGTTCGTTAAGGATTTCTAAATTTACTAAACTTTTCGGCTGTACTACTTGTATGGGATCCTCTCGTATTACATGTCCAGCTAATTGAATAGGAGCTTGTTCATTCTTACCACTTTTTTGTTCTAAAATTGGCACTTTAACAGTAGAAAAATCATTAATAGCATTAGCTAGAACTGAATTTTCTTTATTAAATAGCACTTTTAGACTTTCTTCATTAATCAAATGTAAATCAAGTTCATAGGTATTACCATTAGGGAGAGAAAGTTCAGCCTCTCGATCAGACTTTTTAAAAATTTGAGCAACACTCTGACCATTAAGGAGAAAAATTTTAATTGTTCTGTTGTTAGGCAAATTCTTTAATGCCTCAATAGTACTAACAGTCCCTCCACGAGGAACAACCTGTTGAGCATCCGAAGTTGCAACACATAAAGCTCTACTTGTACTATTACCTATAGAAAGCACTACACTTTCCTGCTGCGGTGTTGTTTGATCATTACTTGTAGAAGCTTGACTTACTATAGCCACATCATCTTCGATCAATGTAACTGGAGGAGTTTGTGCAGCAAGTTCTTCCTTTCCACTGAGATAATTATTGTTAACAAAAAAAGCAATATAAGGAGGGTTAATTTTTAACCCTTTACTTCTTCCATGTCTATGTAAAGATGGCATCACAAAGGTTATAAACCCGTCTTCACCAGATTCAGAATCCTCATAAATTACTACTTTCTGTTCATTACTAGATCCAGAATATTTCATCATTTCAGAAAGTGAAGCATCTTTATGTTTGTTCTTTACTTGTTTAAAATATTGCTCATCACCATTTGAATGGGTATTTGGAATGAGGTAACTTGGTACAGTGGATACATTATACAATACTGTAACAAAGTAAGAAAGATAATAGTATATAGATACACTATTATCAGACTTAAATTGGTCAGGTTCAAGATTTGCAATAAGATTGCGATACATGTCTAATGAATGAGCATAAAGTGAAGAACTACTACTTATTCTTAATTGTTCACCCACGTGTTTATAACCCATAGAACCAAGTGGTAATGAAGGTATGAAATCTGATTGATTAACTACTCTAATAGTTTTCTTTCCAAGGCGCTCTTCGTAAACCTCAGCAGCAGAAAAGTCGAAAACCCTTGGAGAAGCAAAAGTTGCAACATGCAAATCTTCTGCACCCTCTCTTACACTTAAACATAGAGCAGCTATGGTGGCAATAGCACCTCCCATACTATGACCTGTAAGGTTAATTTTAAAATCTTTAATTTCTAACTGTTGATCATTAGCATGTCCTTTTAATATCTCATAAACACTACCCCAAGAATCTTTAAATAAAGAGTAAAAACCTGAATGGATTTTTCCACCTTCAGGCAAAAGCTCATCTGAACTAGTCAAAATCATTTCAGCATCTTTCATGTAGTCAAACCAATTACGACTACCGCGGTAAACTATAGTTATTCCCTTATCTTTTATAAAAACATAACCAGCATGTCGATATGGTTGTTCATTATCACGCATATTATAGAATTGAATTATTTTATAACCTTCTTCCTTAAGTTTAGCTGGAACTCTATAAGATCTTTCCTCTAACTCAGAAAACTTTTTATTATTAAGATTATAATCACCAACATAATAGCCTACCTTAATAAAATTGGTCATCTCTAATAACTTCTCTTGGCTAAATCCTGCAATTTCAGTTTTGTTTAGTCCTAAAGCACCTGGCCTTTGCTCTTCTTGAATATCAGTTATTTCAAATTCATCTTGTTCTAGATTTGAATCACCTCCATTAGGTTCCTTTTCATTAAGCTGACTGGCGACACTGTTATCTACATTTATAGAAGTATGACAAGCGTTTTTATATTTTTGTTGGATGGTTAAAAACTCCACTCCTGAATTTTCAGCGAGTTTCAATATAAAATTTGTATACACATTTTGAATAATTGAGGAATGTTTTTCACGTATAACATTATCTAAAATAGTAACTAGACTATTTTGCAAGAAGGTCCGCCTATCTGTATCGCCTAAAAATTTGGGATCATTTTTAATTAAATCTAGTACTTTTATTATAAAATCTGTACTGCCAGTACATGAGGCGGCTTGCAAAACTAGGTCATAAATTTTTTGTTTTTTTTCCTTACGTTCATTACCTGCACTATCAATATTTTTTAGAACCTGGTTTTTAATTTGTTCAATAATTTTCTCATCTGCAAATGCTTCTTTATAGATTTCTTGAATTATTGAACCTTTCTTTTCAATACGTTCTCTGCACAAGTACTCAACAATTGAAACATGCTCCTGACTTATTGCAGTTTCTAAAAAAGTAACAATACACTTTTTTAATAGATCTTTTTTAGCCTGATCATCAATATATCTTTCAAGTGAATCCAGTACTATCTTCATAAAGTCTTTATTTTTAGCGAGAGATGCTGTTTCAAGCATGCCATATAAAGGGTTAAAGCTACTTGTTTGCAGCACTTGTTCAAGATCTTTTAAGACGTACTCAATAAGAACTGTACTTAGTAATTCTCGCTCTTGTCTTAGTGCTATAACTGAGAAAAAGCCAATCTTATTAGGTTCAACAAGTTGTACAACCTGATTTTTTAATTCAATATAAAGGTCAGGAAATCTCTCTATAAAAGCTGCAATATATTTTTGACTGCCAATAAGTAGAGGTAAAAGACTCAAATTTCCTTCAGCAAAAGTATGTCCTGGTATTTTTTTGCAAGTTTGTTATTAGCTGCAATTGCTGAAAGTACCAGCTCTTTTGCTGGATAACTATTTACTTGATCAAAACTATATTGTAACAGTATATTTGAATATATATGCTGGTGATCGCCTCTGTTTTGTAAGTCTAAACCAAGTTGCTTTAAACAAAAATCTCTGAAGCTTTCATTATCTAGTGTAACAGATTGGCCTTCATAACCTTCAATGTCTTGTACGATTCTATCTAATTCTCCATAATTATTACGCTCTATTGCATTATTTAGAATATCTATTATTTTAGTAAAAGTTAAACTTTCAGGAATTACAACAAATGAATCTTCGACTTCAATACCCGAGTCCCCAGAATTTTTCCTACTTTTAACTTTATTTTCTTTTGTAGCATCTTCTTCTGATGACGTAAGCCTGCCCAATAAACTCCTAACCATTTTTACCTCATAAAAATTACTAGAGTATAGCACTAAACGTTAATTTTGCCAAGCAAACTCTATTGATCAAATATCAAGAAATCGCTATGGAACCAGAGGAACAAGTAAATGTTGCTATCTCTTTCATCCTTTTAGGGTATATAGAAGATAACTTTCCTGCATCTCTGGATAAGTATGGAGATAAGGACATCTTTGAATTATTCTTTACTGGAAATTCATACAAGTTTACTAAATTTGGCAACAAAGAAATACCACAAGCGATTAATCTCTGGTTGTCACGCCTTTATTTAGCAGATAAGCCTTACAAATTCTATCTAATGATAAAAGATCACAATGAAAAATTTGAACTTGAGGTACAGTTATCACTGGATGATGAGAAGTCATTCATAAAGCTGGAAAAAGCACTCTCTAATCAAAACGTAAAGCTTAGTATTTTATCTGATCTTGCACTTTTGTCTGAATATATACCTGAACTAGAAAAGTCGATTGACGATAATAGCACATTATCATTTAATTTAGATAATTTTGCACCATTATTTTTACATATCTTGCCTGTACTAAGAGCAATAGGTATCAAAGTTATTTTGCCGAAATCTTTACAAAAAATCTTAAAACCACAATTAAGTCTTAATTTGTCTACTAAAGATAAAATAAAAGAAGATCGCGAAAGCTTTTTAACTCTTGAAAATTTATTAAAATTTGATTGGAAAATAGCAATAGGTGATAAAAAAACAAGCATTACAGAATTTAAAAAATTGCTAAAAGATTCCCGAGGGCTTGTGCAAATAGTCGATCAGTACGTGCTTTTAGGTGATAAAGAGGTAGAGGCTTTATTAAAAAAACTTGATAAATTGCCTGATTATTTGAGTCAAGCAGAACTCATGCAAGCTGCCCTGACAGGTGAAGTGAATGAGGCTAAAGTAGCATTTGATCAGCAGCTTACAACCTTATTTAATAAACTTAATACTTACACACCTGTTACTACACCAAATAATCTAATAGCACAACTGCGCCCATATCAAGAACGTGGGTTTAGTTGGCTTGTACAGAACATAGAAAGTGGGTTTGGTAGCATAATTGCTGATGATATGGGTCTTGGTAAGACTATACAAGTTATTGCAGCTATTCTATATTGTAAAAATGCAGGATTTTTAAATCGGGATAGAGTTTTGATAGTAGCTCCAACAAGTATATTAAGTAGTTGGCAACGAGAGATGGAATGTTTTGCACCAGAATTAAAGCTTTTCATCTATCACGGACAAAATCGAGAATTGGCAAGTGATTATGATGTAGCTCTCACATCCTATGGTCTTGTACGTCGTGATAAAAAAGAACTTAATAAAATTCGCTGGTTTTTGCTCGTGATTGATGAAGCACAAAATATAAAAAATTCTAATACCGAACAAACCAAGGCAATTAAAACTATTGCAGCAAAACATAAGATAGCAATGAGTGGCACACCTGTTGAGAATAGGTTACTTGAGTATTGGAGCATTTTTGATTTTATCAACAAATCTTATCTTGGTACCCCTAAGCAGTTTAAAAGCAGCTTTGCAACACCGATTGAAAAAGCAAGAGATAAAATTTGTCTAGAAAGGTTTATGAAAATCACTAGCCCTTTTATGTTACGTAGGCTTAAGAGTGATAAAAGCATTATTCAGGATTTACCAGATAAAATTGAGAATAATCGTTATTGTTCCCTCACTTCAGAGCAAACAGCTCTTTATCAAAAGGTTGTTGATACAACTATGGAGAAGATAGAAAAAATTGAAGGGATTGAACGTAAGGGACTAATCTTTAAACTTATCAATGCTTTAAAGCAAACTTGTAACCATCCATCACAGTTTGGCAAGAAAAAGCGTGCGAGTATTGAACAATCCGGTAAAATGCAGATGCTTGAGGAAATATTGATTAGTATTGGTGAAGTTGCAGAAAAATCATTGATATTTACTCAATACACTGAAATGGGTGAAATTATATCTAAATTGCTTGAAGAAAGGTTTGAATCAAAAGTGCCATTTTTACATGGAGGACTGTCCCGTAAAGCACGAGACGAAATGGTTAATGACTTTCAAAACTTATTCCAGTCCAACATTCTTATAGTGTCTTTAAAAGCTGGAGGAACAGGACTTAATTTAACAGCAGCAAATCATGTAATACATTATGACTTATGGTGGAACCCAGCAGTGGAAGCACAAGCAACAGATCGGGCCTATCGTATCGGGCAAGAACGTAATGTCATGGTGTACAGGCCACTTTCAACAGGTACATTTGAAGAGCGTATTGATGAGATGATTCAAAGCAAGAAGGAATTAGCAAGCCTAACTATAAGTAGTGGCGAGAGTTGGATTACAGAATTTAACAACGATCAATTAAGAGATTTAGTTAATATAAAAAATGCACTATAATATAGCTGAGTTATTTAATGTAAAGAACCAGATAACTACCGCTCAATAGTTCAAAATAGAGACAAAGATCAAAATTTACGTCTCCAATTTCATCATGTATAATGGAGACAAAGATTTATATTTTGTGTTTTATATTTCATTGGTAAGCAAAAAGCCTGTAATTACGTTTTAAGCGATTTCTAGGTACCTTCTTAGCGCCTGTAATATAATACACTAAAGCTTGAAAGAACTCATAGTACAATTTATCAGGAAGCAATAGTTAAGTCCAATGGGGCAGCAGACAGAAGTGTAAGAACTTATTTGCGTTCACCAACAGGCTTGCTAGAAGATATATCTGAACAAATTAATGCTATTAAGTTCTCCAATGAAGAGTTAAAAAATATACTTATTCACTACATTAAACTTTCAGCCCAAGAAGGCCATCCATTTACTCATACAGGTGGTCCTGGCATCTTCAAACAACGGCACAAATTACCACCTATGTTTCATAATGCTAGCAGACATAAACTTGAACGTTTAGTACAGAGTTTGCTAAATGAAAATAAGGTAATAAAAGGTATGTCTGCAGATTCAAAAGAAGACAAGTGGCTTGATGTTCTAACTGGTCTTTTTGCAAGGGGTGAGGGTAAATTTAAGCTGTGTGCAGGGGAGTTCAAAGTTGCTAATAGTCTTTAAAGACAGTTCGAAAGGCCACACTGTGGTCTGGCTTTTCAAAGTAAAATCCAGCATAAATCTGCTATAATAAAATCTTTCTAAGAGCATCACAAATTTGAAAAAACTTTTATTTGAAAAAGAGGTCATAGAGAGCTACCAAAAAGCATTTAAGAAGTAAACTTTGAGCCGATCTGGGTTTTATAATTTCCGTGATTTCCGGCAAAATTTCAAAATCAGGAAACAAAAATACAATACACCTAAACTATTGAAATTCTGTACTTTTATCCATTCAATATCTATAAGACGTTATTTTTCCACTTCCAAAAGACTTAATGAATCAGATCGCCCTAAAACCCGCCACAGTAGCTAGCTTTCCACTTTCCGAAAATCTTATATATTATTATAATATGTAAATAATACTATACATATATATACATATTAATAATAATAGGAAATAATAATAAATAATATGAAAATATATAATGGATGTAAATTAATAAATTGTAAGTTAATAATAAGGTTAATTAAAATTAGAGTAAATTAGAATGCCTAGGGAGTGAAAAAAAAAGAAGTTAAAGGAACCGGAAATGCCACAAAAAAAGTCTTAAAATATTCATAAATACAAGAAATAACTCTTAATGG